CCTTGTTTCACTCTGCCTGGTCCTCACGCCTGTTATTCGGCCAAAAGGGAGGTCTGAAGGTCTTGGAAGGGGGGTTTTCATACCAAGTTTTCAGGTTTGAGACTTGGTCAGGGTCACTGCCTCCGGCCAGCCCTTCTGGACACCTGCTCTCCCTGGATATGCCTCCCCGGACCTAACCACATGCAGGCTGCAGACCAACACTGTACAGGGCGCTTCCACACACACTGAATAACGGACTTTCAATCCACTTTCAGTGCACTTTGCAACTGGATTTTACTGTGTGAAAGGGCAAAATCCAGTTGCAAACGGTTGCTGAAGTGGGTTGAAATCGCATCATTCAGCACGTACTTGAAGGGTTGTCATATAGAGGATGGTGCGGAGTTGTTTTCTGTGGCCCAAGAAGGTCGGACCAGGACCGACAGGTTGAAATTAAATCAGAAGAGAAAGCTCACACTCAGGCAGAAAAACTCTCTTAAGGGAGACTGGTTTCTTGACACAGAGTTAAAAGGGACCCTAGAGGTCACCTACTCCAACCCCCTTACTCAGTGTGGGAATTCGTCAACTAGAGCACGCCTTTTTAAAAATGTTTTAAAATGACTGAAAAAAGCATTAACAGGAGAAATCCTTGTGGGGCTGTGCCTTTAAGAAAGAGGGCAGAGCCCCCAAAGCCCCCCGTCCACTGTAGCTGTAGCAGCCACCACGTTGGGGACCCCTGGATTACAGTGATGAGGAGAGAAAAGTTCATTCACGGCAACTGTCTTCTCCACACGAGGCAGGAATTTGCAAGGGATGCTGAGAAGCAGGGCCGATTTGACAATTCCTCCTCTGAGTACCAACCGGGCCCAACCTGGCTAATAAAGCCAGCCGAAGTGGCCCCAGCGAAACACAGGCCCGCGGACGCTCCCAGGAAAGGATATGAGATGACGCAGAAAGCGAGGACCGGCTTCGACTCGGGGAAGGGGTGAAGGTAATCCCATATTAAAGCCACGATGGCGAAGAGGCAGGAAATTGTGCAGATGACGAGGCGGCCGTCGATCAGTCAGAAGTTCTCCACGTACTTATACTTTTCTAGGAGGACCTGGAAGAGGTGGGGAAGGAGAAATGTAAGCATACTTATAGGCATAGATGAGCCGGCGTTAAAGGATTTTATTTCACCATTGCAAGCCGTAGTTCTGATAAGAGCTGTTCTTGAAAAAGAGCCGTTTCTGTCAAGAGCTCTCTCAGCCCCATCTACCTCACAGGGTGTCTGTTGTGGGGAGGGGAAGGGAAAGGAATTTGTAAGCCGCTCTGATACTCCCTTGGGTAGTGAAGGGCGGGGTACAAATCCAATCTCTTCTTCTTCTTCTTCTGCAGTTTGGTGTAGTGCTTAAATGCGCGGACTCTAATCTGGGAGAACCGGGTTTGATTCCCCACTCCTCCACTTGCACCTGCTGGGTGACCTTGGGCAAGCCATAGTTCTGTCAAGAGCTGTTCTTGAAAAAAAGCAGTTTCTGTCAGAGCTCTCTCAGCCCCACCTACCTCACAGGGTGTCTGTTGCGGGGAGGGAAAGGAGTTTGTAAGCCGCTCTGAGACTCTTTTGGGTACTGAAGGGTGGGGGGTCAGGGGTCATTTCCTGCAGGAGCGCACAGGAGCGGAGCTCTGGCAGTAAAGAGCCCAGGGGGCGGGCACATGCAACAAGCCCCGCCCCCTGCTCCCAGCAGCCCTCAGTCAGAGCAGGAAGCAGCCAGGTAAGCTGCAGAGCCCCCCCCGCCCCCCCCAGTCCAAAACAGTCCAGTGGCACCTTTAAGACCAAGTTTTATTCAGGCACAAGCTCACCCTCCTCTGCGAGGACAGATCTGCACGG